GAATGGATCCGCAAGTCTCACGTCTCGTCAGCCCCGTAACATTGTCCTTGTGGGGATTATTGTTTTTATTAAACATTTGCCTACGTATTAAAATACTATGGACATATTATGGAGGTTTTTTAACATCATAAAATAGTTTAAAGTATTGAAAGAGTTTTTATTATTATTGAGTTATTTCATTGAAAAAGTTCACTAAGTGGCAGTAATCAGCCATAAAACAAATATCATAGATTTTACCATGGCTAAAATCATGACTATCCATCCATTTTATGAAACAAAATATAGTCTTTATATTATTATTATAATGAATGTGTATGCCAATTTATCACATGTGCCAACCAGTGTTTTAACACGTTTTCCATTTACCCACAAAATTGTGAAGTTCTTTATTAATCTTTTTCTCATTCAGGGATCTCATCCATTCTGTTTGAGACACGCATTGGCTGCCTGGAGAAAGAAATTCCTGCCGAGACACAAAATTTCATTAATTCTATTGCACAAATGTTCACCTACAGCATGCCTGTGGTGTTCCTGCCAAACTGGACTCGCAATTACTTGCCATTTTGGCAGTGGTACATTAATGGCTGGGAGGGCATATTCAAATTTGGTAAGCTTATTAATTCACGCATCTTCTTCAGATAGACTACAAGAGATACAGGCATGTTTTGCAGTTTGATGATGTATTGTACTTATGGATTATGCATAGCCAGAAAAATGATTGACATGAAGATGGAGGCCATTCAGAAGCGCTTGGATGCAAATCAGGAGGTTGCTGGGGAGTATCTCACCTACCTGCTTTCCAATGTCAAGATGAGCAGTAAAGACGTTTATGGAAATATTTCTGAGCTGCTGTTGGCTGGAGTGAACACAGTAATAGACATTTAATGTATCTTTGACTATTTAAACAAAATACATATGAGTTTTGAAATGATAGTTTTACCTCTTCATGTTCTAGACCTCCAACACTATGTTGTGGGCGCTGTATCTCCTCTCAAGAGACCCAGAAGCTCAAGAGGCTCTGTATCAGGATGTAACCAGAGTCTTGAAGGGTGACGGAATCCCAACAGCACAGGAAGTGAACAGCATGCCTTACCTCAAAGCTGTCATGAAGGAAACATTAAGGTAAATAATGCTTATTATGGCATATACTATACACTACTGGTCAAATGTTTGGAATAAGTAAAAAGTCTTTTAAAAGAAGTCTAATGCTCACCAAAGCTGCATTTATTTGATTATTAATACAGTAAAAATATAAATATTGTGAAATATTACTCTAATTTAAAAATAACTGGTTCTAGTTGAATATATTTTAATATATAATTTATTCCTTTAATAGCGAAGCTGAATTTTCAGCAGCCATTACGCCAGTCTTCTTCAGTGTCACATGATACTTCAGAAATCACAATCATATACTGATTTGGTGCTCAAGAAACATTTATTATTGTTATCAATATTGAAAACAGCTGTGCAGCCTAATGTTTCTGTGGAAACTGTAATACACTACCATTTAAAAATTTGGGGTGAGCAAGATAAAATAGAGGGTCAGGGCAGGCAGCAAACAATCATAAACAGTATCTAAACAATTGAGGCAGAGATGAGTAGACAGGCAGCAAGGGTCAGAAACAAGGTAACAGTTGAGAGTCATACACAGGCAAGGCAATAGGAAACAATGGAATACTCAGAAATGTCAGCCAGGTGAAAACATAACTTTTCAAGGTGTGGATGTAAGTGAGCTGTTTGAATAGTCCGGGGAATGTATGGGGATCATGGGAAATGGAGTCCAGGACAAGAAAAAGGTCAATACTCAGGTGAGGAAGCCCTCTGGTGGTGAGTGGGAGGAACCATGGAGACTAGATTCATGACACAAAGAATTATGAGGAAAATGTATTATGAGTTCCACAAAAATATTAAGCCTTAAAAACTATTGATAATAAGAATCACAGAGACTAGGTTCATGACACAAAGAATTATGCGAAAATGTATTATGGGTTCCACAAAAATATTAAGCCTTAAAAACTATTGATAATTAGAACCATTATTATTAATTGATATTAATTGATAATAATTAAACACCACAGCAGCATATTAGAATGATTTCTGAAGGATCTTGTGACACTGAAGTCTAGAGGTGTCAAATGACTGCTAAAAATGTAGCTTTGCAGGCACAGAAATAAACTACATTTTAAAATATATTTGAATATAATTTTTTTATGTGTGTGTACTGTGTATATAAGAGACTTCGTCCAGAAACATGAATTATTCAAGAATTTTGACCAGTGGTGTATCATTGAGTATTATAATCTCTGTAATTTCATGTGCAGGATGTACCCTGTGGTGCCCATGAATTCTCGTCTTATTGCAGAAAATGATGTTGTCATTGGTGGACATTTTTTCCCTAAAAAGGTAAACCATTTCCATGTTGTTAGAATGAAAAAATGGTTGCCAGTTCAGAAATTTGCATCACTAAATCAGCTGTTTTTAAACAGACAACATTCACTCTGTGCCACTATGCGATTAGCCATGATAAGAAAGTCTTCCCAGAGCCACAGAAGTTCAAACCTGACCGCTGGCTCAGAGATGGCAGAACGAGACCCAACCCATTTGGGTCAATCCCGTTTGGCTATGGAGTCAGAGGCTGTGTTGGCCGTCGCATTGCTGAACTGGAGATGCATCTGGCTTTGGCAAGGGTAAGAAAGACAGATGTTTAATTTTGAATTTGTGCCAAACAGTTATATTACATTATAAATTGTGCTTTCTAATTGTATATTTTCATTCCAGCTAATCAAGTTGTTTGAAATCCGACCGGATCCAACTGTGGGTGAGGTTAGGTCACTCAATCGCACAGTGCTTGTGCCAGACAGACAGGTGAACCTTCACTTTGTGGAGAGACAGAAGACATCTTCTGAACAATAGCTAAAGAATACCACCATTTCAGCAAGATATAAGCTGCCTGTGTACATATATGAAAATGATCAGCTAGTGTGAATCATGTGAATGCGTCAACTATTTTACCTCTGTCTGGATATGATTGGTTTGTGCTTAGGAATATGTAATCTAAAGAACCCTGTATTACAACGTAAAACAAAAAACATTTTTCTCACCAAATTTTGTAGCTCTTTCCATTAAATTGTTGTTGTGAATTGTGTTTCGTTATGCTGATATATGTATTATATGAACTTAAAAATCAATTAAACCTTTTAATTAATCCAAAATCTCTCTTTTGTGTTATTGTTCAGTGTTAGTGGAAGGGGAATTGTGAATATTTATAATTTATCACCACAACAGATAAATATTGGAACGCAACTGATAGAAGATAAGCAAATGAAATTATGCAACAAATGAAATGACTAATATATCACCTTTAACACACACACACTAGTTTCCATGTTTTTTAGGGACATTCCATAATGGTGTTTATACTGTACAAACTTACTCTAACCCTACGCCTAAACCACTCAAAACTTTCAGCATTTTTACTCTTTGACTTAGACTTAAAGTTGTGGCATTTTCGTAGTATATTTCTTATTTGTGCATATCTATTGTCTAATTTGCATGTTATAAAACCTTGAGTGATAATGTTTTTTTAAAGCTTCGTTTATTGCAGCCCATTCACCTCCAGTACTTCTCTTCATCTTATGGTGTCATGCTCTTGTCTGCCTGTAGAGGCCGCAATCGCGCGAGACTCTCGTCGAATCAAGGGTTAGGGTTATTTACGAAGAAGAGAAATCAACATCCTGTCCGACTGCGACGAGAATAGCACCAAAGTATTTACAGTTGTTGATTCTTTTCGATTTGAGTGTTTTTGATTGTTGTACATATATAATGTAGATATATGAAATACATACATATAATATTAGTGCTCAGGTGGTTGGTTTTGGGAGTTAAAACGCTGAGATCAAAACTTGTTTATCATGACGTGTATTACTTTTTTGTTTTAATGTACTTTGGATTGTAAAATCCTTGTCATCTTGCCCTTTTGCCTCTATTGACACAAGGAACATTAGTGGCAATAAACTGTCAGTGCAAGGTAGTGATAAGCAGATATCAGCAAACTGAATGTTTATCAAAATGTGTATTGTATTATATATAGAATATATATTCAATACATAAATATATTCTATGTTTTAACAAAACAAAAACAAAAAAGGTTCAGTCATAAATAGCTAATACTCTAGTTTATCTTAATTTCTCTTTTGAGAGTTTTTTTTTCTAGCAATAAGGAATGAAGTACCAAATAGTTATGAACACCATAGAAAATTTGTCCATCTCTTCTATTGTTATTGGTATTGGTTAAGCAACAACAGCTGACATTATGCTCTATTTGTCTTTCCCGTGGTTTACAGTAGTGTTTCACTTGCAGAATGACCAGTGATTTACGGTTCTCCAGAGATTTGCTTTGTGTGTGTTAAATCATGTCCAGTAATTGCGTAAGTGGGACAAAATATTACTTAGCTCAGAGTGAAATCTGTTTTTTCTTCATAACATCAATATTATATTATCTATTATCTAACCTTTTTAGGTGATTGAAAAAAAAAACACATTTCTTTAAAGGAAAACAGCCATTGTAAACACAGGTGTGATTTTAAAAATATTCAAAACCCTTTGTTTGTTCGCTGTGCCCTGTAAGAATTGGAAGAAAGGTATTTTTTAAAGGGATAGTTCACCCAAAATGAAAACTGTCATTGTTTCTCCAGCCTTAAAGGGGTCATATGATGTTGCTAAAAAGAACATTTATTTTGTGTATTTGGTGTAATGAAATGTGTTTATGCGGTTTAAAGTAAAAAAAAACACATTATTTTCCACATACTGTACATTATTGTTTCTCCTCTATGCCCCGCCTTTTTGAAACACGTCGATTGTTACAAAACTCATAAGGTCTGAAAAAGCGAGGTGTGCTCTGATTGTGATCCAGTGCGTTGTGATTCCCTCAGTGAATACCTCAAGCGTGAGACAGAAATGTTACGCCCCTCACCTTACTGTTGATGTCCCGGCCGGAGCGACGAGACAAAAACATTTGTTAAACATGTCCAGTGGGGACATAATTACT